CGTGTCCCCTGCATCGGCAGGCGGACTCTCAACCACTGCGCCACCAGGGAAGCCCCTAAAAGCACATTTTTAAGGTAGAATGGACAAGATGTTTTTTCTGACTAGATGTGAACAGTTAAGAAGAGGAACAAAGATGCTAAGAGTTGAGCAGCAAGTAAAGAAAATAACAGGTAATAAAGGAGATACTGAATCCAAGAGGAAGAACAGGTGCAACTATTAGCAGTGATAGTGGATGAAATTCGATTCTGAGATCGTTGTGGCTGAGGTGCTCAGGGGACACCAAGTTGGAAATTTCAGTAAGGCCAATGGAAACAAGGAGCAGAAGTAGAGGAGAGACGGAGATTAGAGAGCCATCAAGGCTAAGTGTGGAGGGATTTGAAGCCAGGGTACAATGCCAGGAAGTAGGTACGTCTAGAGAGGTAACACGGTGCACACCTATAAAAGGAATAGAGCTGGATCAAAGAAGCAGACTAGAGATTAAGGACTAGGAGTGAAATGTCAAAGAATAAAAGAAGACCTGGGGTTGTAGAGAACTTTGTTTATCATTTAAAAAAAAAATTTTTTTTTTTTGGTTGCCCCGCATGGCATGTGGAACTTCCCCGACCAGAGATCGAACCCATGTCCCCTGCAGTAGAAGCTCGAAGTCTTAACCACTGAACCACCAGGGAAGTCCTGTTCTTATCATTTTATATAAGAAAATCAAATAAGGAAAACAATTCACAAGAAATGGGAAAATTCCCCCCTTATTAGATATGCTTTTTCAAACCCATAGAGGAGAGGAGAGGAAAGGAGGAAGGGAGGAGTGGGAGGGAGAAGAGGAGGAAAAGAAATGGGAGGGTGGAGGGGAGGAGGAGGAAGTGGAGAAAGAAGAGGAGAAGGAGGAGGAAGAAAAAGAAACAGTTTAACAACAGGAAGGAAAGGGCCGTGAGTAACGTATCTAATCTAAGCCCTTCACCTCGACCAGCCACTGACCACAAACATTTTAAAGCTGTGGGTGCTGGAAGGGAAGAAAGGTAGATGAATGTGAAGCCAAGGGTATAATCAAGAGTCAAGCCAGATTGTGGCTGTCTGGAGGGGTGGGATAGGGAGGGTGGGAGGGAGGGAGACAAAGAGGGAAGAGATATGGGAACATATATATATGTATAACTGACTCACTCTGTTATAAAGCAGAAACTAACACACCATTGTAAAGCAATTATACCCCAATAAAGATGTTAAAAAAAATAAATAAATAAAAAAATAAATAAAAAAAAAAGAGTCAAGCCAGAATGAAAATTATTAAAAAAATGAAATTCAGGAGGAAAATATGCTACTTGGCATGAGTTGATGTGTAGCCTGTTGACATTCTCTGCTGTTTTAAAAAGAAGGAAAATGATACTCCCACCCAGCTCCAAGTGAAGAGCAATTTTCCTGCGTTAGTTAGAGCCTGACCATTTGGACCAGTTTAAATTTTTGACTGACACAGCTTCTTTAGGTAATAGGTTACATATGTTTATAAGCTGTCATGAAAAAGTGGCATTTCCTTTCATTGGTCCCAAAACAACTCTGGCTGCTTTTAAGGGATTCTCCACTAGTAAAAACAGAGGGTCACAAAACAGGCTATAAATTATACAGGCTGGCTAGGCACGTACGTCCTTCCTGTTCTCCTTACCACTGCCGGGAGCTGCTGAGCCACACAGAGCCTCTAAGGAGCCAGGCAGTGGGGTCCCTCCAATTACAGAACTAGAAACAGATGACACTAGGCTCCTTCCAACACCTGTTTTCATCCTATTAGTGTTCAGTTGATTTGGTTGGAGTTTCAAAAACTAAAAGATCCTTTAAATCTAATCATCTATGAAAATTCTCAAAGCTTTAGGTCATTTTAATTACCAATCTCCAGCTCTTATTTAGCATATTTATGTTGCCAGAATTCTCAAGATTCATTTCTGACAAGGTTATCTTTTTACTGGGAGAGAGAAACCTTGCTTAGATTATAAAAATTAGATGCTACTTCCTAAGTACAAGTTGACAGTGGAAAGAAGCACCCAGAACCATTTTAGGTGGATGGAAAAGTCAGCAGAAGCTGTGGGCTTCTCATTTCACTTCACTTGGTAATACAGGAGATGTGTTCTGATAAAGCTATATACAAATTAAACCTGGCATACATTAATTATACTACACTAAATAAGTATAATTACCTTTAAATTAATAAATTATATATGGGATCCTTTTTCAAAGCAAACAATCATCTCTGATTTACCTCTTTAAAAGGCAGTCATTTAAAATACTGGTTTTGAAATCTTAGAGATATTCAGAATAAACTACAGTTATGTTATTGCAAAAAAAAAATACAATACTGGTTTTGCTTAAATGACACCTATGACATTCAAGCTGAATATACAAGGATGACTCCATGTTTACAAAAGGTTTTATCATCAGATTCTACTGAATGACATCCTGTATGGCCTAATGAACACAGTAGTAAGAGAGAGCTGTCCAGTTCCAAGTGCAGAAAGATTTCAGTGTAATTTTCTCTCCTTGAACGCTGAGGTGCCAGCAACCCGCATTTTGCCTCACAATAAGGAACAGTGTCACATGATTCAGAAACACACTGAGTCACTGGCAGAGCGAAAGTCTTTCAGGATACATAAAAGGGTGCCATTTAAAAACCTGACTTGAAATAGATATGATCCAGTTTCTCAAAGTCACAATCACAAACAAAAAAATACAACTTGCCTAGTTCTGGACCCACATTCTTTGCATACCATTTAACATATGTATGAATCTTACTGTACTGTAAAGGTAGAATTTCAGTAATATGGAAAACATAAAGGCTATATCTGAGTTTTACCTTCGCCACAATTCTTCATTTTAAAAAGTCCGAAAGTGAGAGTGACATCAGTGAAAATGGCACAGGAGGGAACTTCAAAAGCCTGTCCCTCCACAAAAGCAGTGAATAAACTTGCAAAAACTATTAAAATCAATTTTATCAGAACTCAGAAACTAATAAAAACCTTACATCAACCAGACAAACCTTTATTAATGGAGAAAAAAACAAAAACAAAACCCCAGCTCAATCCTGGTAACAAAACTTTTCTTTTTTTTAACTTACTCTGATCCTATCAAGCATTTTGACTAGGAAACAACTTCTACTTTGGGTAAATGGGATGCACACTGCACGTGCATTTCTCTTCTTGTAGTCTTTATGTTAAGAAGTCACACAAAAACAATTTGAGGTCACCAGTTAAAAGTAAAGTAAATAGGCACAGTACTAATTTACTTTCACATCTGTGAAATTCTTTGTTTTGGCCAGGAAAGAATCAAACCCTAAAAATAAGTCCTCGAGCTTCCCTGGTGGCACAGTGGTTAAGAGTCCACCTGCCGATGCAGGGGACACGGGTTCGTGCCCCGGTCCAGGAAGATCCCACATGCCGCGGAGCGGCTGGGCCCGTGAGCCATGGCCGCTGAGCCTGCGCGTCCGGAGCCTGTGCTCCGCAACGGGAGAGGCCACAACAGTGAGAGGCCCGCGTACCGCAAAAAAAAATAAAGTCCTCATATATATTTAAATCATTTTTAGTTTATATTTATTTCAGTAAGGAACTTACATACAGTTATAAAGTCCTCACAAAAACCAAAGGAATGCCAAAATATGACAAGAAAATACTAACTAGTGATAAACCTTATTTACAATATACTTTCAGTTTATACTTCCATTGATCTTTCCAGCAACAAACTTTAGAGCTGAGCTAGCCAATTCAGTAGCCATCAGCTATGTGGCTATTTAGTTAATAAAAATTAAATTTAATTTAAAATTTCTTGGTCACACTGGCCGTATTTCAAGTGCTCCATAGCCATCAGAGTTTTTATTGGACAGTGCGGCTTTAGAGAGATCACATGGATATGCCTGTCAAATAATATTTTGTGTGCAGAAGAGAAGTGGCTCTAGAGCATGATCAGATGCATTATTCAGAAAATTTATCAAGTGCCTACCATGTGTCAGACACTGGGAATACAGCAGATGATAAAGTCACTGCATTCACAGAGCTCTAGTAGGGGAGACAGAAACAAGTAAAAATATACTATAATTTCTATGTAATGAGTACTGTGAAGAAAAACAAAGCAAGTAAAGAGCTACAGAGTGGTGAAATGAGATCAAGTAAGGCTTCCTTGTTAGAAGTGATGTGTATAACTCGAAGGACTAGACTGGTGTTTAAGATTATACAAGGTGTGGGAGAGCTCCTTTGCAGCCAGCTAAGCCATTTAAGCAGTAGGTACGCAGACTCTGGATTTACATGACACATGGTGTAAAACCTCTTCACAGCTCCAACACCAGTGTTCAAAAAATAGTTCATTAAGTAGATGAAATGGATCTGTGGCTGGTCTATGCTTAAAAATCTATTATAAAAATGTTCAAATTAAATATAAATGAAGGGAGACAAGTTATCTACCATGCAGTACATAACAAAGTAGGAAAAACATCAAACTGGAAACTGTCTTTTGAATTCATTCATGAATGTATAAAATAAGGTTAAAAAACACACCTGATCACTCTTAGATAACGCATTACTTATACCCTTTAAGGGACTTCCTTGGTGGCGTAGTGGTTAAAAATCTGCCTGCTAATGTAGGGGACATGGGTTCGAGCCCTGGTTCCGGGAAGATTCCACATGTTGCGGAGCAACTAAGCCCGTGCGCTGTAACTACTGAGCCTGTGCTCTACAACCCGCATGCTGCAACTACTGAAGCCCATCCACCTAGAGCCTGTGCTCCACAATCAGAGACGCCACCGCAATGAGAAGCCTGCACACTGCAACAAAGAGTAGACCCCGTTGGCCACAACTAGAGAAAGCCCACACACAGCAACGAAGACCCAACTCAGCCAAAAATAAAGAAATAAATATACCCTGTGAGTTATGGTATTAATTGTCCTATCCTATTTTTTAAAAAGGTATGTATGAACTTTTAGGCATAAAATCACAGGCAATATTTGCTTGGATAAACAAGCATTAAGTGGACTATTATATATAGTTGATTTACTTTCTAACCTAAACTTTGGCCTGAACGTTCTACTTACTGGAAGCATAAACAGACCAGTCCTGAAAATGCATGTTTTCTTATAGAGTGATTTTCAATTTGACCAAATTGTCAAAACTGAAAGAGTCCCAAACACAGATCATTCACCTCTATATATGTACTAAACTTCTAAATAAAGACCACAATGATAGATGAAACTATTTTTTTTCTTATAGGTGTTCCTCATTTTCAGTCCTCTCTAGAACTGACCTCATATTCTTTCTGTGTCTATTACATCTATATCAACTGTGATCTAACTCAAGATTGAAACAGAATGAACAGTACATACTTTCAATTGCCAAGTAAATTTTCCGCTCTCCTTCCTTGGGTTCTTTGCCAGGTGGGAAGTATGTTCCTCTGATTGTAATTGCAGCTTCAGAATATTCACTGATTCTCTGCAGAGCTTCCTTAGAGGTAACTTTCCACCTAGCAGTCTATGAAATAAAGAATGGGGGGACAATTATACTCCAATAAGGATGTTAAAAAAATAAAATAAAAAAGAGTGGGGGGAAAATCACTTTACAACAGAATAAAGAAACCTGATGTACTGACAAAGAATAGGTTAACTAAATCATATAACGGTCAATGTTAAGATTATAATTAATACCTGCATCATAAATTCATTTAGATTCTAATGTAACTAGAACATAATCATAAAAATGGAATTTCTAGTGTTGTCTCCACATCTAGATAAAAAGTAAAGCAGCCATTTAAATGTTCATGGGTTTTAAACAAGGCATTTTCGCTCCTAAAAAAGGAGTTTCTACTCTACAATAAAAAAAAAGTTTAAATCTGTTACTTGCCTGTGGGAAGTCATTGATCTCTAATTCTTCTTCATATCTCTTAAAAGATTCATTCTGTCCACCATCCTGTCTCTCCTCTTCTTGTTTCTCCAAAGGCACATAATTAAGCTTGGCATTGATCTTTTCAGCAAGTTGCTCTGCAATGGTTTTTGCAGAGACAGTGGGAGCCAGGATGGTGCCACCTCTAAGAATTGCATTGGTGGCCTGCTGCATCACATCCTGCAGTTAAAGAAGACCTACAGTCAAATCTCAAATGAGGGCAGAGACAATACCAAAGATCCTACCACAAAGTATTCTCTGGAAAGCCACTAACTAAAAGCATCTTTCTAATGTAAAGTGCTACCCGTAAGTGCAATTTAACAGCATATATTTATAACAGACAGTTTAATATATCTCCCTTACTTGATGAGAAAACAAGAATATTCAATTCTACATTAAAAATTCTACTGAATCATACATAGATAATTAGGTAACTCTTGATATCAAATATAGTATAATATTTCTAAAATCATTTACATACTTTGTGGCTACTAGGAGTTTCCTCTGAATCAGAATCTTTGCCCACTACCACCACTGAGCTCTTCCTTCCCCCATGGACCAACCCAACATTCTATAAATTACAGTAAATGACTTTACTCAACACATTTTTTTAAATTTGAACTTAATTTTACTATGTGCCTAATGGAGAGATAATTCTTCTGTGGGTAATACGCGACTCACACCGCAAGCTATCCTAACAACAGCGAAAAGTTAGAGCCATTTGCTTTCACAATAAAGAGTTATTAGTAGCAATAATCCAAGAGAATATTAGGTGAGGTGCTGTGTCCCTGTTGTTAGAAGAGGCACAGGCTCGAGTACAGTAAACACTTCATAGTAACTCACTGGCTAAATAAAACAGATGCAGAGACCCAAGGCTCTGAGCCTTGACTGTGGCTGCGTCATTGGGTCAGCCCACTGGCCTCTAGCTTGGTCATCCCACTTGGACACTAGAGACCTGAACCTATACAGGCTACTGGACACAGGGCCCTGCAGGTCCCCAAACTCTCAAAATCTTAAAAATACTGTCAAAATTAATGAATTGTTCTTTAGGAATGCTATGAAAATTTAACCTTAGTTAAAAATTAAGTTAACCAAAATGCTGGAGAGGGTGTGGAGAAAAGGGAACCCTCCTACACCGTTGGTGGGAATGTAAACTGGTGCAGCAACTATGGAGAACCGTATAGAGGTTCATCAAAAAACTAAAAGTAGAGTTGCCATATGATCCAGCAATCCCACTCCTGGGCATATATCTGGACAAAACTATAATTCAAAAAGATACATGCACCCTTATGTTCATAGCAGCACTATTTACAATAGCCAAGACATGGAAACAACCTAAATGTCCATGAATGGATAAAGAAGATGTGGTATGTGTATACAAACACACACACACACACACACACACACACACACGTACATATATACATACACACAATGGAATACTACTCAGCCATAAAAAAGAGTGAAATAATGCCATTTGCAGCAACATGATGAACCTAGAGATTATCATACTAAGCAAAGTAAGTCAGGAAGAGAAAGACAAATACCATATGATATTACTTATATGTGGAATCCAAAATATGACACAAATGAACCTATCTACAAAACAGAAACAGACTCAGACATAGAGAACAGACTTGTTTGTGGTTGCCAAGGGGGAGGGGGCTGGGGGAGGGATGGATTGGGAGTTTGGGATTAGCAGATGCAAACTATTATATAGAGAATGGGTAAAGAAGGTCCTATTGTATAGCAGAGGGAACTATATTCAATATCCTGTAATAAACCATAATGGAAAAAAGAATATATATGTATATATATGTACAACTGAATCACTTTGCTGTACAGCAAAAACTATCACACTATAAATCAACTATATTTCAAAAAAAAAAATTAAGTTAACCAAAAAACTCCCAAGAGAAACAAGGCAAGTGAAATATTTAACACATTTTCCCACTGTCTAAACCCATGTTAGTTTCAGTTATGTAACTGGATATTCATACTTCCAAGGTATTGTTTGTGTGCCCAATAACCCACCTAATATAAACAGAAAAGAAAGAAAAGAGAGTTATTTCTTTAGGATTTTGGTAAGATCAATCAGAATACTACTTTATAAAATTATCCATGGTTAACATGCTTAACAGTTAGGCCTTCCAGAATAGGCATTAAGACCTCAGTTAACCACACTAGAGAAATCACCCAAATATAATAATTAAAGAATTCTGTATTGAGAATAATGTTAAATGCTTACTACCTCAGTGTCTAAAATAACTTCTTGTTCACTTGTGCTGCCGTAATTCCTGAAAAGCATTTAAATCAAAGAACTTACAAAAAGTACTAAGACTTGGAACAAATTACTTAATACCTGAGACTCAATCCCCAAATTCTTCTGAGCATTGATTCTAAGAGCCAATCTCTTTGCAATTTCTAACTTCTCAGCATTTCCTGCAGTTGGAGCAGGAACACTAGATGTTCCAGGAGCAGCCATATCCTTCACTCTCTTCTTTGAATTAAACATGCTTTCAATTTGCTCATCAATCTAAACAAGAAGAAAAAGGATTAGTAAAAATCTAATTAAAAATACCAATTTATAGAGGGAGAAGAGGAGGGGAAGGGGAAAGGAAAGGGAGGAGAGGGGAGAGAGGGAGGGAGGGAGGGAGGGAGGAAGGAAGGAAAGAAAGAAACAGAGATACAAGGATGCAAGAACCACTTCATCAGACTCCTGAGTGGTACAGATACATCCCAATTCAGTAAATGAAGAACATGTGCTGTCAAGACAGAGCAGACAATTTGATGCAGCTGAGTTGCTCCAGGGCCAAGGCCTTAAGGCCAAATTACATACACTGCAATGAAAGAGGCTGGACGAAGGGCAATAACTCAAGACCAGTGGACATCTAAAAATACAGTCAGTGGTTCCCAGGGCAAATGCTGCAACAGGGTTCCTAAAATTCTTCCCAACTCCAAAAATGCAATTGGATTTATCTAAAAAACTGGGTAAGAGAATCAGGAAAAAAAGCCTTTATTGTTTTTTTCCTTCAAGGAAGGAAAGAAATGAAGGTTGGTTTCCCCATCAAAGCAAGAGCAATGCTGAAAATTAGGCTAATATTTTAAATCTCAAATGAAGAGCAAGCTTTTTTCAGGATTTAAAATTAATTAGGTTAATTTAGAAAGACCTTTTACTGAAATGGAAACAGACAACTTATCTTCTTTTTAAAATATTTGTTATCTAATAAGGGGTTTGAGTTACCAACTACTTTTAAACTAACATTTAAATAACCCTTTTAAATTAAACAGCATACATGGCGTTGAAATCCAAAACAAATGCATAAATCAGGAATGGAGAAGGTATATGGAGCTAGGTGACTGGGGTAACTTTACTTTTAACTTTATTCACTTTAGTATTGCTCTATTTTTTTTTTACAAAACTTATATAATATTTTAACAAGAAGGAAGAAAATCAACATATTTCATTATGAGATTTTTTAAAAGTTTAAGTAACATAAAAAAACTGAGGTGGTTTTAAAAACAAAGCCACATATCCTTTAATACTCTTCCCTCCAAGAGGTGGAGCCTCTCCTTAAATGTGGGCTGGACTTAGTGACTTGATTCTAACAGACAAAAAAAAAGTGGAAAAGCCAGTATGTAACTTCAGAGACTAGTCATAAAAGGTACAAAGGCTTCCTCTTTGCTCTCTCTTGGATCACTCATTCTGGGGGAGCCAGCTGCCATGCTGTAAGGACACAAATGCAGAGTGAAGAACAGAGTCATCCTACCAACATTAAAGTGACTGAGCCATCTTGGAAGAAGATGGTCCTGCATCAGTGAAGCCTTCAGATAACTGCAACCTGGGACAACAGCTTGACTGCAACCTCATGAGACCCTAAGTAAGAACTACTTGACTAAACTGCTCCTGATTTCCTAACCCTCAGGAATCATGAGATAATAAATGTTTACTGTTTTAACCTACTAAGTTTTGAATTGATTTGTTACATGGTAACAAGTAACTAAAATATTGACTTAATTGAATTTTAAGCCAGTATGGTATGCTAGTAAGAAATGGCCTAGGGTTAATAGGAGACCTTGGTTCTGGTCCTGGCTGTGCTTAACAGCCAGTGTGGTCATTTCCTGAAATGACAAGATCAGACTGAATTCCTGATTTCCTAAATTGTGTTCTGAGCTAAGGTTTAACAGGGTATGTTTCAAATACAACAACAAAAAAGTTCTATGATCAAATATCAAATATGTTGGAAGATTTCTGGGTCAAATAAAGTTAAATAAGATTATTTTATTAATGACTTTTCACATCCTTTGACAGGATACCACTAATAGTGGTATATACTAGGCAGATTTTCCAAAATTATTTTATAATGAAAACATCTAAAGCTCAAGCTCCTGGGATTAGGGCTCCAAAGAATACTCTGGGAAACCCTTAACTTGCTGAGTCCTCAGGGTCCCTTTTCACTGGGTTACAAATAATTCCGTAAGCTAAGAACATGGGCTTTGAAGTAAGAACAGAATGGGTATAGATCCCAGCTCCTCCCCTTAACAGCTATGCAAATCTGAAAAGGTTATTTCTTTCTAAGCCTCAGTCTCCTCAATTATAAAATGGGAATACTCTTGAGTATCCACTTATCTAGCTATTGTGAGGAAGTAAATGAAATAATCCCTGTAAAGCACTTTGCACAGGACATGGCACTTAGTAGAACTCAATAAATGTTGACTATTATTATTACTAAGGATGTTGTATAACAATTAAATTGTAAAAGATTAAAAAACAGTATTAGTACCAATGATGTTAAAGATACAGGGAGCCAGGCACTCTTATATAACACTATTGTGAGTGCAAACTGGTACTCACCTTGCAGGAGAACAATCTGACAACATTTTAAGACCAAATTAGATATACCCTTTGGCCTAGCAATTCCATTTACACATTCATCCTCAAGACTTAATGCGACGAATGTGCAAGGTTTAATGTTCAAGAATGAGCGATGAAGTATATTCCAAATAAAAATATATGGAGACAAACATGTTTGTTTCCATATATTCAAAAATAGGGATCTGATTCATTAAACAGTGGAACATCCATATAATGAAATATGTAACCAAAGAACAGCATAAGAGTGAACTTACTAAAAGGGAAGACTTCAACATAGGACTATTGTAAAGATTATAAAGCAGTATGATCCCATTTTTATGAAAATACAGAAATATGGGCATATGTGAATACGTCTGTATACACAGAAAAAAACTGAGAAGGGTACACAAAGAAAAGTTTCCAGTAACTTGCTAACTAAACAAGCCTATGGTAAAACCTCCAGTACCAAAGGAATAATTGTTTCAACTGGTAAGAATAAGGCTTAGAACAACAATACTTACATCAACTGCAGCATCCTCATCATCTGAATCTTGAAGACCAAGAGCAGCTTTTTGTAACTTCTTTCTCTCATTTGCCAAAGCTTGTTCTGTTTCATCAAACTTGAATCCCTTACCAGAGAACCCACTACTCTTTTTAATTATTTTCCCTTCCTTTCAAGGAAAAACAAGAAAGTTAATTTCATAATAAAAAACTTTAATATTCAGGAATTTATGGCAATTAAATATTTTTCAAGGCAGTGTATGATATTGTAACAAAAACATTTCATCTAGCATGTGAGAAAAAGGAACTCTATGTAGACTACAAAAAATACTAAGTTGAAGCAAAAGGGAGCATTTTGTTTTCACTCCTTTCCCTTCCTCGCTAAAGAGATAAATGAAAATAATCCTACCAAGATTTACGGGTATTAAATATTCAAGATTTAGAACACAATGACTTGCATAAAAATGAGACTTAAAAAACTCACAGCTTTCTGTTGATCTTTGAAATCACTCCAAAGTTTCTCTAGATCAGGTGGCACTGCAGTCCCTGACAATTCAAGGGCTTTAATTATGTCACCAGCATACCGAGCCTGATCTTCTGTGATGAAAGTATAGGCGTAGCCCTAGTGAATGATGAAAAAGTGATACTATTAAACACTAACAAGATGAATCCTCCTTAGATCACAAATAAGATAAAATCTGAGTCACCTAATATACCCTCTTTAAGGTGACTCCATTACTAAAGAATTTCAAAGACCACGAAAGAGTCCTACTGAATTCTTTAATGGTTCAAAGTGGAATACCTAAGTTTAATATTTAAAAATAAGCAAAACCAGAAAATTTCTAATCTCTTTATGCATAAAGGGAAATACATGTGATTTTTACATAAATGTACAACTCCACTATCATAAGTATTAACTTTAATATATCTTATTTCTCCCTTTTTGCTTGCATTCCCTTCCTCCACTACCTACTGCACCTCTCTACCCCAGCTAACCTGTATTAACGTCCTAGAATACAGCTTCCCATATTTTTTAAAGACCAATTAAAAGATATAAAAACATACACACATGTATATCTGATATGTTTTTAACATATACAAAAATGAAGTCAGCTACATCACTTCCATGGGATTCTCTAAAGCCTAAGGATGCAGGTGTCCCCTGCAGCTTTTTGGTCAGGCAAGAGAAAGACTGGAGTTGTAAGTAGAGGAAGAGCAAACTACAATTAGATTGCCATCTTCACAAAACGCTCTACCCTACCAGTGAACTGTTATAAATTTAAAAACATGATTTAATATTTTATTTCAGGAGTACCTAGTTACCAGATTTGACCCATGGCTTACTTTTATACGACCCATGAACTAAAAGTGGTATTACATTTTTTAGGGTTGTGTACACATGTATACACACACACACACACACACACACACACACACACACACACACGATGTGACAGAGACTGCATGTGGCCCAAAAAGGCTACAATTTTAACTACCTGACCCTTTACACAAAAAGTTTCCCAAATCCACAGAATAACTCAGGTTCAAAGAATAAATGCCATGACTACTTATTAGCTATGTAAATTTGTCAACAATGTCAGTGTGCCTCAACTTTTCTCATCTGTTAAAAGGGGTAATACTATCTACCTCAAAGGGAATTTGTGAGAATATAATGAGATGATATATGTAAAGCACTCAGAACAGTGGTGGGCATTTAATAAATACTCCATAAATATAACCTATTAATATTATTATTGCTTCAGTATGTAGAAATGACCATGGTTGTAATATCAAATATATCACCATCAGTGCTTCCATCAGTGCTGCCTTCAAAAAGAATGAGTTAGAACTATATACTTAACAGAATACAGGTAAGTCAAAAAAGCAAATAATATTCATGTGTACAGGGGGGTGAGAACAGGGGTGATAGGTGTGGGCTGAGTGTATTTCATGATCCCTTATTTTAAAAAAAAGCAATGAAAGATCTTGAACTATATGCATGTATGTATATACAGAAATTTTTAGGTGGGGAGAAATACCTTTTGGGGACACAAATGGTTAACATTATCTGCCTACAGAGAACAGCACTTAAGACATGTATATGTATATAAATGATGAACATCAACTATTCCCCATACTCTGATAATGAAGGATTTTCAGAATGTCCCCATAACTCCTATTATCTCTTTATAATCTTAAAGAAACACTTGTATTTTAACATAATAGAAATTATTTTTACTTTGTTGCCTGCTCTTCCAGTCCGTCCTGCTCTGTGCACATAATCCTCATAATGGTTGGGGCAGCTATAATTTACTACAAGAATCAGATGTTTCACATCTAGGCCTCGGGCAGCAACAGACGTAGCAACAAGAAGTTTGCAGGTCCCATTCTTAAAATCATTTATGATGCTATCTCTGTCATATTGATCAATGCCTGCAAGTAAATTAAAGAGTTGTAAAACCACATATTCAAGTTAAATTTTCCATTTCCTCTGACATTCAGACAAAGAAGTTAAACACGGGGTAAAGAACAAATCCAACTTATACTGACCACATGTCCAACAACTACCATATAGAAAGTAAGACTTGGTGGGGGGTTGGTGAGGAGTGATAAATTAGGAGTTTGGGATTAAAATATACACACTACTATATATAAAACAGATAACCAACAAGGATCTACAGTATAGCATAGGAAACTATACTCAACATCTTATAATAACCTATAATTGAAAAGAATCTAAAAGAGAATAGATATAATATATAACTGAATCATTTTGCTGTGCACCTGAAACACAACACTGTAAATCAACTACATTTCAATAAAAAATTAAAAAGAAAATAAGACTACGGAAATTTAATGGCAAGATCCAAAGTTATTGCTATCTACGAATTGCAAATCTGCCCTGTTTTGCCCCCTTTCTTATATACAAGGCTTATCACTCCAGAAGCCCAACCTCAGAATCACTAACCTGTATCTCTTATGGGGGCAAATGGGAAAAAGGCAGGTACATTCAGCCTATATTGACAGGATTCAGATCTTTCTAATTCTCTCACAGGTTATTTAGAGCCTTGCTCCTCACAGTTTTGTCCCAGGGACCAGGAGCAGCATCACATGAGAGCTTGTTAGAAATGCACAATCTCAGATCCTACCCCCAAACTACTGAGTCAGATTCTGCATTTTAACAAGATCCACAGGTGATTACATATGCACATTAAAGTTTATGGTGCACTGCTTAAAAAGTACCCAACTGGATCTCTCTTTAAAATTTGTTACTCAAAGAGCCTCAGGATGAGTGACAAAGCAGAGCATAAAATACCAAAATGTTCTTTTACAAAATGTCCAGGCCACATATACACTTTATGATGGGGTACCTGGGAATCTCTAGTAATCAGAGAACGGAATGGGATAAATTCTCAAACCTTGAAATTCATTTTTGCAGCAAGAGATATTCTAACATTCCGTATAAAACCTGTGTTTAACATATACAGAACATTTAGCATCTAAATATTTATCAATATTAATTTATATTACCTAAAGTTTTAAATGTACTCTTCAAAGATTGAATTATGGAAAATATTTGGATCTTATCTCAAAGAAACTAGGATCCAACATTGTACCCAAAAACCTCATAAGAAAAATTAGTGGAATCAGTAACAATATACATTACATTTATAATTTAAAAATACCACAACTTTTAGTGTAGACTGAGGTATCCTGACACATATGTGCAGTAGAGTTAGTAGTTAATGGCAGCAACCATTAACCCTCTTCCTTTTTAACATAACCTCAATTTTGTTATCCACCCATGTCACCACATATATTTTGTTATCCACCATGGTCACATATATTAAACCAGAGATGAGCCTAATTCTCAGTCTCAGGAGGTGAGTAATGATTAGTGTAAACTAGCCCTTCTCAAACTTTCTGTGCTCAGGTTGTCTGTGCACTCTTAAAATTAATAAGAACCAGACACAGAGAGCTTTAGTTTATCTAGGTCATCTCTATCAATATTTAACGTATTAGAAACTAGAACTGAGGAAAATTTTAAATATTTATTAACTTATTTTAAAATAATAAAACAATTACATGCTAAAAAAATATATTTTTGTGAAAAGTAACTTTTCCAAAACAATAAAAATAAGGCGCTTCACATTTTTGTAAATCTCTTTGATGTCTGGCTTAATAGAAGATAGTTGGAGTCTCATATCTTCTGCATTCAATCTGTTGCAATTTAACACGCTGTGCAACCTCTAGAAAGCTATACTACGTATACACTGATGAAAGAATGAAAGTGAAAAAGGCAAATAACTTGGTGGGGTTATTATGGAAATATTTTTGACTTCATGAAACCCCTGAAAATCTCAGAAACCTCAGAGGTGCAAGGATAATACATTAAGAACTATTTGCCATTCCCTTGTCTTTGAATGAATTAGGCATAAACATGTGAAGCAATTCTGACCAAAAATATAAAAGAAGTACAGACGGGGGATTATGGGGAAAAATTTCCTTACATATATAAAAAAATACACATTTACATCAAGGTAGGGGAAAATCTTATAGACTAACCCTCCTGTGGGTAACAACTATGAATTCTGGACAAAATATAAAGAACTAACTACCTGAAGGCACCAGAGAGTCACTAAAAGAAGGCAGAAACTGGAAGGGAGTTGACACCTGGAAGAATGCAATGGCACTGGTTGAGTTTACAAGATTTTACTTCTTTATTTTAAACTTTCTGTTTGGGAGCGGGCCCTGAGCAGCCCAGGTAGGGAAGTCAAAACGTGAATAGAAACAGTCTTACTGACAAGAAGAAAGCATTCAGGATAAACTCAGGACCAGAAAAGAGGGGATAAATCCCAGAAAGAACAACAGAGCAGGCACGTCCAACAGTGCATAAAAACACTGTCCAAGGACTTCCCTGGTGGCGCAGTGGTTAAGAATCTGCCTGCCAATGTAGGGGACACAGGTTCGAGCCTGGGTCCGGGAAGATCCCACATGCCGTGGAGCAACTAAGCCCATGCACCACAACTACTGAAGCCCATGAGCCCTAGAGCCCACGCACCGCAACTACTGAGCCCACATGCCGCAAGTACTGAAGCTCACGCGTCTAGAGCCTGTGCTCTGCAACAAAAGAAGCCACCACACCGAAACAAAGCCCCCGCTCACTGCAACTAGAGAAAGCCCGGGTGCAGAAACGAGGAAGGGAGGGAGGGAGGAAGGAATAAAATTAAAAACAAAACACAAAAAAAACGATGCCCAAATATCTGACACCTAAACTATACACACATGGGGCAGAATCCAAGTAGCCCAGCTCTGGCTGAAAGAAATTATTAGAAATTTCAGAGGTTGCCCAACAAGAAAGACAGTTTCAAATACGGATCCAGCCAAGTTAATGCCCTATTTAAAAAAAAAAAAAAAAAACTTAAACATAAGAGAATTCAGACTCTACAAGGTATCATTCACAAAAGCCAGTATACAAACCAAAATTACTAGACATACAAAGAAACAGAAAACTATAAAACAAAATCAAAAGAAAAGATAATAGAAACTGACTTCAGATAACCAAGACATTATAATTAACAGTCAAAGATTTTAAAGCAACTATTATAATTGTGATCAAGGAAAAGAACTTTTAAATGCTTATAATGAATGGTTAGGAAATTGAATTAGAGAATCAGTAAAATATAAAAGAGAGCCAACAGGAAATTCTAGAACTGAAAAAAATAACTGAATTAAAAAATTCACTGAATCGGCTTATTATTAGCAGATAAGAGATGGCCAAAAACACACAGTGAACTTAAGACAGAGTCAAAGAAATTATTCAGTCTTAGAAAGAAAAAAGATTGTAAAACAAAGACTGAACATAGCATCAGTGATACGTGAGCAGAATCAAAAGGCTGAACATACACACAACTGGACTCCCAAAAAGAGAGGAGAAAATAGGGCAGTAAAACAATCAATCAATCAATAAATCAAGAAATAACAGTCAAAGGACTTCCCTGGTGGCACAGTGGATAAGACTCCACACTCCCAGTGCAGGGGGCCCAGGTTCAATCCCTGGTAAGGGAACTAGATCCCACATGCACGCCGCGACTAACAGTTCGCATGCCACAACTAAGGAGCCTGCCTCCCACAACTAAGACCTGGTGCAACCAAATTAATTAATTATTTTTTAAAAAGAAATAACAGTCAAGAATTTCCCAAATTAGATGCAAGACATAAATTTACAGACTCTAGAAGGTGGTAAACCCCAAGGAGAATGAATACAAAGAAAATCATATCTAAATCAACTTACCATATGACCCAGCTATCCCATTCCTGGTAATCTACCCTTGAGAAATGAAATGTTCACACAAAAATCTGGACTCACATATTTAATAGCAGCTCTATTCATAATTGTCTAAAACTGGAAACAACCCAAATGTCCTTCAACAGATAAATACACAAACAGTAGTACATCCACACAAAACATACTATTAGATAATAAAAAGAAATGAACAATGCAACAACTTGAATGAATCTCAAAGCCATCATGCTGAGTGAAAAAAAAGCCAACTGCAAAAAGCTGTATAATGTATGACCGCATTTATAAACATTCTTATAAGAGCACATCAGTGGTTTCCAGGGGCTATGTACAAGAGGTAACAGAACCTTAGAGTTACTCTGCATAGGGATAGGACAAGGGAGTCTTGGGGGGTGAGGGAACTATTCTGTATCCTGATTATGGTGAATCCTTTGGGATGGTTAAAACAGCCAAAAAGCTGGAAGTAGCCCAGGTGACCAACAGAAATGACTAAACAAACTATGATATACTTATACACTGGAGTATTACTCAGCAATAAAAGGGAAGAGCTGTTACATCCAACATGGATGAAAATTCAAAAGTATATGCAGAGTCAAAGATACCTGACACAAAACAGTCCATAATGTATGGTTCCATTTATCTGGAATTCTAAAACAGGTAAAGTTGGGGAAAAAATGTAAAAAGTGGTGGCAGGGACTGAGGGAAATTTCTGAGGTTACATCTTAACAGAGGTTTGGGTTTCACAACTTCCATGCATTTGGCAAAACTCATCAAATGGTACACTCAGGATCTGTACATTTCACTATAGTTTACTTACAGATGTTTTATTTAACAAATTTTTGAACTAGTGTTAATCATGTGCACACTGAAGTGAAATGTGCTGATGCTGCAACGTATTCTGAAATGTATCAAAAAACTAAGAAAGGGCTTCCCTGGTGGCACAGTGGTTAAGAATCCCCCTGCCAATGCAGGGGACACGGGTTCCAGCCCTGGTCTGGGAAGATCCCACATGCCACGGAGCAACTAAGCCCGTGCACCACAACTACTGAGCCTGCGCTCTAGAGCCTGCAAGCCACAACTACTGAAGGCTGCGAGCCAAGAACCTGTGCTCCACAACAAGAGAAGCCACCGCAATGAGAAGCCCGCGCACCACAACGAAGAGTAGCCCCTGCTCGCTCCAACTAGAGAAAGCCCGCAGACAGCAATGAAGACTCAACACAGCCAAAAATAAATAAATAAAAAGAAAGAAATTTATTATTTAAAAAAACTAAGAAAAATTGAGGAGTGGGTAAAAGGACAGATGGCTAAAGATGTGACAGATAAATGTAACAAAATGTTAATTGTAGAATCTAGTATTAGATATTCAAGGGTGTTAACAATATAGTTTTCTCAGATTTTCTGTGTTTGAAAATTTTGGTAGTAAAAAAAGAAGGGGGAAAAAAAGCCATAGCTATATGGAAAATAGTCTTCCTCCTCTGGAAGCTGTCAAATCTGGAAGAGATGAGTGAGCCTGCAGAAAGCTTTTTGCTGCCATAAAGAAAGCTCAGCTTAATAACTAAGTTATTATGCTCAAGATGGCAGTATAGAAACTACAATATGGTAACACTGAGCTATTGCTGAGTGAAGCAATCCTGGAATCGTTTTGTTTTTTTTTCTTCTTTGGCCACACCCTGCAGCATGTGGCCTCTTAGTTCCCCAACCAGTGATAGAACCCAGGCCCCATGCAGTGGAAGCGCAGAGCTTTAATCACTGGACCGCCAGGAAAGTCCCCTGGAATCGTTCTGCCATGGGATTTCATGTTTTGTAAAATAAAAAATATTCTTCATGATTTATGGCAGCTGAGTTCATATTTTCTGTTACTTGCAGAAAACCAAAAGGAAAAGTAACTGATATTAATAGTACATGTCAGGGCTTCCCTGGTGGCGCAGTGGTTGAGAGTCCGCCTGCCGATACAGGGGACACGGGTTCGTGCCCCAGTCCGGGAAGATCCCACATGCCATGGAGCGGCTGGGCCCGTGAGCCATGGCTGCTGGGCCTGCGCGTCCGGAGCCTGTGCTCTGCAACGGGAGAGGCCACAACAGTGAGAGGCCCGCATACCGCAAAATAAATAAATAAATAAATAAATAAATAAAATTAGGCAAGAGAGTAACATTATTAAAAAAAAAAAAAAAGTACATGTCAAAAGTCTCATTGAAGCATTTTGACCTATCTTAAAATGTCTCTGTTTTCATATATCATAAACACCTGAAAGTAGAAACCATTGTGCTACTTTCCTAATTTCAGCAATTTTTACTATATTAAATGCAGGTTGCACCTTTAAGGAATTTTAAAATTATTCATTATTAGTGCAAAAATGAAGAAATGGATGACTGACAGAATAGAAATTATAGCCATGGTTTAATGACAGTATTTTCAGATTTCTTTCATTTTTTAACCCAGTTTAGAGGAAAGTTTAGAGGAATGCAGGTATGTGATAAATAAAAAATAGAGTATTAAGAACAATATGCTCTCCATACATTTCATTCATAAACTACAATTACCTGGCCTTTGTGCTCTAACAAAAAAGTCAAGCAACCATGGAATGCTCTGATTGTTGAACTGAGAAAATTGTCTCAGGTTAAGAAAACCAGGAGCGGCAGAACACATCATCCACTCTCCAACCTCCTGCCTCCCTTTCTCCCTTCACTAGACCTGAAGACTAGAGAACTACAGATGGCTCTGAAGAAGTGGCAGCACTCACAGTGTCTCTGAGCTTCCTTCTCACTATTCAGAACAGTAAGCAGGAATAAACAGCTATTATTCCACTAAGCGATAGGTTCTGCAAATCAGCCTGACTGTCCCTTTATGGAGATCAAGCTTAGAACAGAAATACCATAATCTCCAACTTACAAATGAACAAGTCCAGGATTTTCTGTCATTTTGTTGCAATCCAGAGTCAGAAGCATCTTGCAGTTGCAATAATCCTAGCAGGAAGAATGGACTAAATGTTTTGTAGGTTGTATTCTTTTTTCTTCTAAAGGGGCACAAAATTGTATGCATTTTAGACATACTAACACCTACACTTCTCACAACTAATGCCATTATACTATGTATTATGCATGAAATGCACATTAATTACATGTGCACATTAGGAATTTCATGGTTACACCTTTAAAAAAAATAATTCTTCAAAAGCCCTACATAGGGCTTCCCTGGTGGCGCAGTGGTTGCGAGTCCGCCTGCCGATGCAGGGGACACGGGTTCGTGCCCCAGTCGGGGAAGATTCCACATGCCGCGGAGAAGCTAGGCCTGTGAGCCATGGCTGCTGAGCCTGCGTGTCCAGGAGAGGCTACAACAGTAAGAGGCCCGCGTACCGCAAAAAAAAAAGCCCTACATAATTTCATGCTGAAGAGCAACTAAGCCCGTGCACAACTACTGAGCCTGCACTCTAGAGCCCGCGAGCCACAACTGCTGAGTCCACGTGCCACAACTACTGAAGCCCGGGCGCATAGAGCCCGTGCTCCACAACAAGAGAAGCCACTGCAATGAGAAGCCCGTGCACCACAACAAAGCGTAGACCCCACTCGCCACAACTGGAGAAAGCCTGCACGCAGCAACAAAGACCCAACACAGCCAAAAATAAATAAATATATTTATTTTTCAAAACACGTAACTCACAATTTTAAAAATAAATAAATAAATAAAAAGAAAACACAACGAGTCATTTTCAAACATTAAAAGTTAACCAAATACATATCCTCAAAGCCCTTTTAATTGCATTCCACATGAAGCCTTGTGTGGTAGATTGTATTTTCCAAAGACGGCAGCAAAAGCATGTCCTATCCCACATGCTCTTCTGCATGTCGAATGACATTTTCCCATAAGGCGGTGGAATCTATGCCTCCATTCCCTTGAATGTGGGCCAGTCTAGTGACTGTTCTGACCTATAGAATATGGTGGAAATAAAATTTCTACCACTTCCCAGTATCCTCCTTAACTGTCTTGGCAGCTTCTGGTTCTTGCCTTCTGGCCAAGCAGCCTCACAGAGAGG